TATATATATATATTTGTTTATATATAAACAAATGTATACATTTTGATATATACATTTTGATCAATTGCTGATGAATCCATATGGTATATTAACTAAAAAAGTTTCATTTATTGTCCTAATGATTTGGCATGTGATTAATCTGATCAGATAAACAGTCTTGTATTGTCTCTTGCAAAGCCTCATCATATCTAGCAGGCCCGGAGAATTTTGAGAACATTTGGATTTTCCCAGCTAATATCCCAGGAGCGACTTCGTATGCCCCCTGTCAGTCCTTTGAGGTAGCCCAGATAAGAAGCACAAACCATGAGTACTAATGCTACCTTTATTATAAGGTTACAATAACAGTCTCGCAAGTCTGAAAGTATTCCTCCCCTCCTTTACTTTTACTTTCCAGCAAACTAAGGAGGGTTCCATCTGAGATGCTTCCCATGGCCCTTCTGCTTCTGTGGGTTGAGATACCTTTTGCATGATAGTTGTGTAGTCTATGGCTCTTCCTCCTGTCTCCCCAGGACACTCCCACATACCATTGCCCGCCCAAAATATTGCAAGAAATAAATAAGGTGCTTAGCTTTGCTGTATGAATCTGAATATGGAGGAGGAGAGAACGGAAAAGGGATAGACAGTATGGGAAAAAATGGTGGGATATAGAGGAAGGTAAAAGTTGGGAAACTTAAAGAGATGGGTGAATAATATGGGTTGATGAGAAAGAAGAAGGGACTGAAAACTTAGGCCAAAAGAACAGTTGTTTCATACATATGTTGGAATTTATACGAGGAGTCCCCAGTTTAAGAACGAGTTCCATTCCCAAGGTCTGTCCTTAAGTCGGATTTGTATGTAAGCCGGAACAGTATTATTGTATAATACTATATATGTAGTATTGTGTGATGAACTTGAACCATTGTGTATTTAACTTGAATTGTTGTGCATTTAATTCGAATTTTGCTTCAGTAGGCTCCGTTCTTAACTATGGGTCATCTGTAACCCAGGCATTCGTAAGCCGGGGACTACCTGTATCAACTATATGTTGATATTATTTGTGTTGCACAGCTGGCAGCAGGCTAAGCACTTGCTTTTAACTTTGCATAATTTAGTTGGTGTGGGTCTTCCGGGCTGTGTGGCTGTGTTCTGGAAGTTTTGTTTCCTAACGTTTC